GCGAAGAAGATGAGACGCTGCGAGCTCTTGTACGTCATGAACAACAACGCTTCGCTCACGCTCGAGGCACTTTACAAGCTCGGAACATGTACGCCACTAACCAGACTCAAAACATGACAACACAAGCTCGACTCTTGTCAGCTACAAGAACAAAACTACAACCCAAGATATCCATTAAGAATCCTCGTCGAAACCAAGATGAACAACCTCAAGTAACTTAGACGCCTAAATAATTCATGTCGAAGTGTACTTAAGATGCAACGTTTTGCTACTACGGTACTGTATGAAACAGTGATATGTTCCTTACGATAGTTTGTACTCACATTACCGTAGATCTCCGATTTGAAGGATAGTGACCACCCTTATTGAAAAAGAAATTCTTCAAGATATTCATTGGAGAATCTGCCGCCTCGAGGGAAGATGGTAGCGGTAACACTGTTCTGTGCGCCAGTTGGAGAAGGAAGCGTATTCTCTGTCGCTATTGATACGAGCATGTCGGTGGGCCAGCTAAAAGACGCGATCAAGTCTCATAGCCCAGAGGCGATCACATGCGATGCCAAGGATCTGCAGCTTTTTCTTGCGAAGAAAAATAATGCGTGGTTGCAAGACGACGCAGCTTTACGACGAAAACTTGACACGTCCTTCATAGAGCTGAGCGATTTGTGTAAGCTAAATAATCATTTTCTCTTTGGGCCAAACGTCTCACTGGGAGAGAACGTGGTTCACGTTCTGGTTGTGACTCCATATGTACCCCACCCAGCTCGTCTGGAGAGATGGAAGAAACTAAACAAACTTCTCGATAAATATAAGAAGCCAAGACTCACTAATGCTGACGAGTCGGATAATATGGAGACCACGTGTGACTCGTACGACAGCAAGGGGGTGACGACAGGTGACAACATAGCTACACCAGATATCTACCGAGGACTCCACCCTACTCGCATACACGCTGGGAAAAGCTGAATAAACTTCTCGCGTGCAACTAGAAGGCGATGGATAACTATTGTGAGGACACCCCCACGGTGGCATCCAGCGGTGACTCGTTTATTTCTTTTGAGGATTGTGAGAAGATTATGGGGACGAGGTGCTACAAGCAACCGTCGAAGGCCATCGCGGACGACAAGATCGACGTACTCGACGCATATCTCCTTATCGCGATCAGACCGTTTGGGTGGATGCTTACGGGGAAAGATACAAACAGACTTCACACTGATAAAACGGTTGTTGGGAATCGAGTACAGGGAGAAGGACATTTTGACTTTTCATTGAGGGCGGAAGTACTTGCGTTGGTGTCGTCCTGCCAAACGACAGGATTATCAGAAGGGGCTTGCACAGGCTTATCTAGGGGGCGAAATACTTGCGGATGTCGAAGAGTTGACGGAGGTTTTCAGTATAGTCACTGATTTCAAGGTATGGCTCTTTAACAAAAGCTTGGGCGATAAAGTCGAGCAATGTTTTATGTCGATGGGGTCAAGAGACGACATTCCTGAGCGAGAATCACTGAGGACTATTGCAGAGCAGATTTACTCGTTGCTTTCAGGCGACAATTAATTCAGTGCATGCGGCGTGATCATTGCCCAAGGTCTTCGATGAATTGCTGAAGAAAATTTACACCGATTCATTTTCGAAATAACTATTTTATTTTATCGTGACCTAGTCTCCTCTCATTTCTCTAATTGCTTCTCTTTCAATCTAGTACACCGGTTAAGCACTATATCGTTTTCAGTACTACTGAAGAAGAACGTTGTGCTGCGCATAACAGTTGAGTTCAAGGCAGCGACGACAACGCTGCGTTGACACGATTCGAAGGTGATGGCATCATGCAACACGACAGCGCCGTTGATAATTGGAAATGGAGACTGCAAATCATCTTGTGTAATCATTGTATCAACGTCGAAGTTAAATAGCGTCGGGTATATCATGGAGTTGGTAAGTCGCTGAGTGAGACTAATGCCAAGCTGTCGCGGATGTACGCCTGTTACAAGAACGAAATCTTCGTCGCAGTGGATAAAGATCGATTAAAGCTACAAGGAAGTGTTTTCGAATGGAGACGAAGTAAACAGTTTGCTCGATAAATAATGCTAACGGATGCGCCCTATTAGAGTCCGGACTATATTTAATAGTGCCGCCCAAAAGTGACAGAGAGGAGTGAGGACTTTATTCCTTGCTGATATGATTCGTGTACCAGGTTGATATCGTCTAACGCATCATCTAACTCTAAAAGATTTTACAGATCGACGTCTTCGTCCATATGCGGTTCCTTCGACCACTTTTCATGAAATTTAGCGCCATACACATCGTGCTTGGATATAAATCACGACGAGGGGTCCCTCGAGAAGCCTGCTATTTCAGTGCTCCGCAGGATTGTTGCCTTATCCGTGTCTCGCCACGCGCGGAGGCCCCAATCGCAAACGGTGTCAACACTTGGCATACGATTTTTAAGTCGGGCCATTTTTGGACTCGTAGCCGTCAAATGCGTTGTCGAACGTACTACAGCGAGATTCTCCGGCTGTAAAGCAGACGTAGAAAATACATAGGCTCAAGAGAAGCAAAAGAGTGCTAATATAAATAATATCATACGTTTTAACCCGTTCTGCGCAGTAGACTACCTCATCTATATATTCAAGAGTAGATTAACAAAATGTTTGCAGCAGCTTCGTGTTAAAAGTCCTACTTAAGTCGACAGACTTATACAGTAATCATAGCCACTGAGGTGCTAATTAATATTTTTTGTAAGCAGCAGCTTCGTGTTAGCACTGCTAGTCACGCAGTATAGAATTTCTCTTGGTTTTGATTGGTGAATGTAAAATACTTACATGTAATTGTTGTATTACTCTACTAAATCGAACAGTTACTCCAAGCGCTACCAGTCCAATCCTCTAGTGGATACCTGTATTATCCCTCTAATCCCCCGATAATAATGGATTCTTAAATTGTAAGTAACCACTGTTATTTTTTTGACTCGATAAATATTACGCTGATTTTATTGTGCTTTGCAGATGGAATGTCCCTACGTTTTATAGCCTGGATCAAGCATGGTCGAAGCATTAAACCACGCGTGAAAATGAGATGGGATTTATCTGTGATCGAAGTTCAAATTCAAAACGGCAAGGGTCGATTTATAGGATATCGATGTGGATTTGATGGTTGATCGACGCCGAGTGTGACTGTCGTAGCTCGATTTATCAGCCAGATCGATTTGCTCTTTTTAAAGACCTTGATTTAATAAAACGACCTCTATCTATTATAAATCGAGCATCGAGCTACGTGAAAAGGACAAAAGCATTGAAATGCACAATAACGATTACGATGTTTGCCTTTTATTTGCCATCATCGTCCGATTATATTAGCTCGCTCAACAACAATATCCGGTATTTTGATTCTGATAGTCAAACAAAAAAGCACGTCATTTAAGGGAGTGAGTGCCTGTTTTTAAGCCTTATCTCAAAGAAGAAGCGAAGACAAAGGAGCTGATGAAACCAGCACCTCGAAACCAAGATAGGGGATAGAGCATTAGCTGCAAATGTCATAAAACAAATGAAACGTAGTGATAGTCCCTAACGAATGTCAAGTGTTGACTGGTTCAGGTCATTTACCGTGTTAGTGTGCCTTGTCGCCAAAGCCTTGACGGCCAGGAGCCGCGATTGTTAATCGTCTCCTCCCCCAACTGAAGAATTGCACGGATAATCTTCTCCTCCGCGGATGGAGACAAAGCTAAGGTTACTACTGGCCGAAAACTCGCAACACCTCAGGAAGGCGCCGTTCAAATGTACCAATGAAGCCACGTAAGCGAAATTTCATAAAATGTGCCGAGTACTTCGTAAATCAACCCGGCAGTACCCAAACTCACACCGTCTCCACTTCGACGACGTAGCGGATACGCGCCTGAGCTTCCTTGTACACCACCAGCTCAGCATACTCCGATAATGCCGGCTCAACCAACGTAAAACCTTCAGCAAGCGGCGAGTTCTTCAACGTATTGCGATACAGCTTGACAGCGTAACTATATGCTGTACCGCCATCGTCCAGTCGGATCGTCACCTTGAGCGTAGCCTCACACCATGCGCCACTACCAGCTTTTTGCGGTGCCGCATCCGCTTCGACGTCATCTTCAGTGACGTCAGGAGTCTCACGACTCACCAACTCGATGATAATAGTTCGCTGGTCGTAGTGATATTGCACGAAATGTTCGCGATCCTTACCTGTCGTGCTCACTGTGTGCGTATCTCCCACTGCGAAATTTTTGTCTGCCACAAGCTTACTCAGATAGTCTTGAGTATCAGGCGTGAAATTCGGGTTGCGCTCATACCACCCATTGGGTGTCGGAGTTGGCTCCGTCTTAGCCCACACACTGTTATATGGTAGCTCCACACCCATCTGCATCACTTGGCCCACATGTAGCATAGCTCCACACTTGGGCGACACAAGCGAACCACGTGGATCAGGATTTTGCACTGCCAACGCCTTCACACTGTCCATTCCTTCACGAGGTAGAGGATCCGTCCCCCAAGCAGCAGTTGTTGTTACCTCGGTGGGCTTTCCCAGCGACACCTCACATAATAACATGTAGTGAACCTCGCGCGTCTTCTTGGTAGTCTTGTCTGGTTTGCCATCTTTATCTATGATCGGAAGTGCATACGGCGCATCGCAGTAGTTGAGACTCTTCTCGGCTACATTCGCAAAGTACAAGCCCTTGCC